GTTCTTTGTTTCTACCAAAGTATGTCTGTCGGTGTGATTCTAATCTAGGAGACAAAATATTTTTTTTCAGTGTTCTCCAATAATTAAATACAATGTATTGCAGAATGTCAACATTTTGGAAACACTTTCTGCAATGCACAAGCCGTCTTCTCAACCCAATAATTCCTATCTATATTTGCATATATACTAGTAGCTAAATTGTGGCATTTTCTCTCACTGTCAGTCTTCACAGGTCCTTCTCTGCAGTGAAGTTATCATTCCCTAATATCTCCACAGTAGGGGTGGGTTCAAGTCCAGGTTGAGGTCCAGTGGTTCAGCTTCAGATCCGGACTTGCTCTCATTTATAATGAATGAACTTACTCATTTTGTCATGTTCAAAAGGTTCTCCCAGTTCCTCTACATGTAATAAGTTTTCACTAGTTCATCAGTTCATTCTGCTGCCGAAGAAAAGATACTAGTTATAATTATGGTTGTCACTTGAGACATCTAGAAATCATCTCCATGATTTATCTACATAATTTATCAAGTAGTACAGTTTGAATTTTCTTTGAATACTACTCTAACCTAATTTACGTTTGATCCCAGTGTTGGTGTGGTGCAGATTTTAGTTTATTATTAAGTTTTCTTATTTGTTTGTTTGTTTCTTGTACAATCTTGAAAATCATTCTGCAAAATGCAGACTGCAGGAGTGTATTTCAAACACTGATATAACTAGAGGAGTAACATTTGCAAAGAAAATGCATTATGTTTACCTTCGGACATAGTCTGCTCTGTTAATTCTTACCCAAACACATACATGCACTACTAGTATATGGTGACAGGAGCAGAGCAGACCATGAAATTGCAACATTATGTAACCAACCACCAGTCACCATGGTGACAGACGTCAACCAACCACCAGTCGCCATGGTGAGAGACGTCAACAAATCATGTCATTGGTCAGGTCAGAGGTCACTGTTTGGAGAAGAAGAAGAGGAAGAAACTGAGCAAAAACAATATGTTTTCCTTCGGTAAACATAATTACTCTGTATCACACAGTCTCTAGCGTACCTGATGATCGGCACCCCGCTCGCTATGGGAGCTCATCCCGTGGCCGGACATTTCATCTCAGAGCACTACATGTTCAAGAAAGGCTACGAGACCTACTCCTACTACGGTCCACTCAACGCGATCACCTTCAACGCTGGTTATCACAACGAGCACCACGACTTTCCCAATATTCCTGGGTGCAGACTTCCCAAGGTGAGGTCTTGTTAACTTGTCCTGTGTAACTTGTTCTGCACATACAGTACCATATAGCACCCTGTATAGGTACGATTTGGAGGTACTACTACTAGTATTTCTCGTGCAACGCATCACACCGCAGCGAAACGCAACGAATGCGGAAGTAACTATGCCACTGCGGGGCAAAAAAATGGGGGTCTATGATCTAATGAAATCATGAAATTATTGAAAAATATTGTACCAGGAATGCCAGCAGGACATGTACGTACAGATAACTGACAGCAACAAATCATCTGGAATTTAATTCATAATACGCCTTGATAGAAACTTACAACTGTACTGTAAATCATGTTATATTCGTGCTACTTTTATATTCGCGGTTTTCGTGGTCGCTTTTGTACCGCAAATTTATCATTTCCATTAGCATATAATTCACTGAATTTCTTCTTTCTGCACCTGCCGCCACCGCAAACATATAGTTCTGCGAAAGCGTCCATTTTTGTCAGACCGCGCAATTTTGCTACCGCGAATATAAAGTGTTTTACGGTAATACTCATCTGATATATGCACAACTTACCCATAAAATATTTTTTGGAATTCTTTTCACACCATAAAAGAATAAAACTCTATTGCCTAACTTTATCTACATGCCAGGTACAAACCATGTGTGAAAAGTTGAAACACTACAGTCGACAGTTAATTCAGTATTTGTTATTGTAGACTGATAAGTGTTGTGATGTGTCACATATGAACGTAATATACAAGATACTGTCTTAAGCCTTGGTCACAACCCGCCGTACGTGCTTTTCGTCCGTACGTTTTTTGGGAGGCTACGTCTGCTGTGTTTTTTTTTCTGAAACGTGTTTTTCTGAAAAGTGGGGAAGGAGTGGCTTCGACGCACGTCACTCGCACGGTTGCACAAGGTGTAAGAGTAGTCTGCACGCCACGTCTGGCCGTGAGCGGTTGCGTGCATCGTTCGTTGCGCAAGTGGTAAGTTGTACGTGCTTACAACGTACGATCTCTGTGCGACTGCAACTTTACCGTAAGGAGGCCGTACTCACACATGCTTCTTCCGTACGGTACGTACGGGGCACGCGCGTCGCACGTACTCGCACGCACGGGTGGTGAATCCGCAGACCGCACGCAGAAAAAGTTTGACATGCACTTAAAGTTCTACGGCGTGTCTGCGTGCTCCCAAATCCGTAGGATTCCGTACGGAGGTGGTACTCACCACGCAATGATGCCCTAAGTTTGCCCACGTTTTTGCACGTAGACAGCACGCAGAAGCACGTACGGTGGGTTGTGACCAAGGCTTTACACATCCCCAGGTACGTGAGATTGCCCCGGAGTTCTACAACAACCTTCCTTGCCACACCTCCTGGACCCGCGTCCTGTACGACTTCGTGACAGACCCGGACATCGGACCGTACGCCCGCGTCAAGCGCAGGAGTAGGCCCATCCCCATCAACCCTGCCAACCTGGATGTAGATGGCGACATCAAGGCAGAATAAAACATCACATGCAGACACAAGTACACTTCACCATGTAGTAAAACGTTAAACTTTATTCCAACACACAGTTTACAGAGATCAAATTTTCAGCGACCACTGTCGCCTTCATCAGGATAATTAATGACCAATCACTTCACGACGTGATCTCGCGAGAGTTACGGTTTACAAACACGTGACCTTGTTCACACGAGACAGGACTACTTTTTAAGAGGCATCAAGGAGGCCATATATATCAGAGCACTTCAGCCTTCACTTAAAAGAGATGGTGGACGATATAAACTCCCTGGCACTTTTGATCAATTGCTTATGTCACGTATTAGTAAAGTCTCGTTTAACGTTTTACTATGATTACTACCAACACAGAGGAACTTTCATGATTCACTTCACCATGTATAATACATCTACACACACTCTACATACCCAATGCTAGCTTAACAGAAAAATCTGCAGACCCTAAGTGTTTCGAATTCATTAATCATGACATACCCAGTAGCACGAAAACTTTCGAAATATAGATGTAACAATATTTATTAATAGTGATAGAGCTTAAAATCAATTATCAACTCATAATCATATAACATTGACAAATAGTCTCTGAAGCCTTCAAAGCATCAACAATTCATAGAAACAACTTTCAAAATCATATAGATCTGCACTGAATGTATTGACTAATCCAGAGAGGATTTTCTTCCATACACTACAAATCAAGAGCTATAAGGTCCATATTGATGATTCAATTCTATGTAATGTTTCAGTTCTAGTAATGGCTAGATTCTATGGTTTATTTCTATGTAATGGTTTATTTCTGTATAATGGGTCAGTTCTATGTAATGGGACAGCAGTTCTATGTAATATGACAGTTCTGGTAGTACGTTATGTATCACTTGTATGTAATGGTTCAGTTCTATGTAATAATGGTTCAGTTCTATTGTAATGGGACAGTTGTATGTAATGGGGCAGTTCTACGTAATAGGACAGTTCTGGTAGTATGTTATGTCCCACTTGTGGATTACTTCTATGTAATGTTTTAATTCTATGCAATGGTTCACTTCTATGTAATAGAGGATAGGAAGGCATTGAGAGGGAGAGTCCCATAGAGGTTTTGAGGAAGCTTGACAAGGAAATGTGAGTAATGGATAATGTATAGATGCTTCTAGTTGTGAGAAAACAAAACGAATTCTAAGAAGAAACATGTAACTGATATCATAATCACAAGTATCTACAAATCATACATGCAAAATATGTTACAGAAATGTATGTAAAAGGTCGTTTATTGGAATATAGACACACCAACGTAACGTGAAGCGCTAGGGAGCAATGACTGATGTAAAAATTTCAAGAAACTAATAAAGGTGCAGTGATTGAATGTTGCCGGACATAAATCGTGACGCATTCTTGAAGTTCTGTCCTTTGTCTTTTTTTGTGATGACATTCTGATGACAATATTCTTGTCTGATTGCCTGACAATTATTTATTTATTCATTTATTTATTTCAGCTTTATTACAACAAATGTACAAGGTTGGGGGGAAACAGGAACATACTCCTTTTTAATGCCCCCACCAATATAAACTAATAAGGATAACATAAATAATAAACAAAATAAACAATAACAGAAATAATAACAACACTATTTACAAGGGTGATGACAAAGAATTAACAAATCATATAATGAACGTTGAGGTCAATAGAACGGCGAGCCAACGATAAACAATGAATCATTCGATAAGTAATAAATAATACATAACAGGTCGGCAGCAGTATGAGCAAAAACAGCAAATGAAAACAATAACGATGATAGTAGTGATAATAATAATAATATCAATTAGTAACAACATTTGATTTGAAAAGGTACCTAGCAAAATGATGCAAATGAATAAATAAATAAATCATAATAATGATAACAAGATATCTGATTGGGGTGATTAGAATGGAGAACACTTGCGACAAGGACATTGAGTAAGCCAGGTGCATATATTTAAATATATACAATTAAGGAGATAACATTTAATTACTAGTAGTTAGAATTCCGGCAGTCAGACAACATTACGATATTTTATCCCGACATCTACTTGGAAACACCTACTTAACAACAGCTAGCCAGAATTTTAGAATCAAATTAGAAGTTCTCAAGAACTGTTCTAAACATTCAGGGTCCGACTAAAAGGCGAAATACACAGGAAACAGAGAATTACAACGAAATGCATGTAAAATACACACCATTACAAAATGTAGGTTGATCTTGATTCGGAATTAATCAATATTCAGTGAAAACCTGGACGAAAAACTACTGCTACGTTTGTTTTCATGTCTTTTTTTCTATCGTCCTTCTAAAGTACTTCGAAGAATCTGAACGGTTGAATCTAAGGTTTATTAATCAAATAAGCAGCGATATTGCAGCGATAGGCTGAATTTCGTACTTATTTTACATTGTAGAAATAGGCTGAATTTCGTACTTATTTTACAGAGCTCGAGGGTACTTAAAATCAATTACACTTTGACTTAAAACAATTGATTATTAAGAGGTAATCAATAAATGTGCTAATGAAAAGAAAATCTTGGCCGTGTTGTAGAAACTTGTTACCCTAAAGTTTCTGTGTTTTTCTGTTCAAAAGACGAACCTGGGATGACCTGGCACATAAAGGAAAGTTCCCTGTGGCAATCGTAGTCAGACCACCCCATATGAAAGTCATGAGAATTTGGCCACCAAATGACACAATCTTCTTCAGGAGCGAAGTTATCCGGTTGTCCCACGCCCCATGAGTTGAACTCCCCAAGTGGAGTGACGTCTATCCACTCAAAGCTTCCTTCTCGGCGCTGATCGTGTAGGCCAAACCAGAATAATGAGTAACCAGACCTAGGATCTTTTGGTTTGATCAAGGAGATGAGATAGTCGTTGATGTCAGCGTCTTTGGGCACGGCGAGGGTGCCGCCGTCTTCACGACAGGCTGCGGCCGCGTTCTTGTAGGATTTGGGTCTCTTGTACGTCTTGTAGCAGATTCCACGAAATTCTGTATACTCTCTGGGACAAGATCCTGAAAAACAGTTTAGCATTAAAACAGACATGCAGAGATATCTGTGTGGTTCCAGTACTTAGGAACAACACGAATTTTTTCGTACTATCATCATGGTATGTAACTTTATAGGATGTGTATAGTTTTCATGGATAACCGTGCTTTTGCTTTAAAAACATACATATTCCCCATTTTATGCACTATAGAAAATTCATATTCCTCATGCAACTAGACAAACCATCCATCGAAAAACACTTTTATCTCAACCATAACTGAAAAGCGAGAAGTTGAATTTATGTAATCAATGATAGTTAGTTTTATATTCTGTTAACTGTATTTGTTCAGCATATTTTGTTGCAACCTGTACTAATAGCCCAATGTGGCAAAAATGTGCAATAAAGGTCGTCATTATATCTCTATGTCATTCTAAGCGACAACAAGGCATATTAGAAACCAGAAAACAACTACACCGACAAGTACTAGTAGTGGTACAGTGGCGTCGGGTGGTGTAGTGGTTAGAGCAATCGACTATGAACCGGGGAGACCCGGGTTCGATTCCGAGTCGTACCCGGGACATGTCTGAACATGCGTCCCGACGTTGTGCCCTTAGGAAAGGCACTTTACACGACTTTCCTCACTCCACCCAGGTGTGAATGGGTACCTTACTTCGGTTGGGGAAAGTCGTATTGAGGTCACCTTGTGGCGCCGAATGGCAGCCGCACAGTTCCACAAAAAATAATTGTGGAACAAATATGTGTATCATGTGTATTATTTGATTGTTGTAATTGTTGTGAATGTATTGATTATTATGTGATACCCTGCATCAATTCAGCCGTATAAAGGCTGCGACTGCATGGGTACTGTTTGGACAATAAAAACCATTTATTATTATATTATTTCATACAAGACAAAATGGATGCCTCACCTGCAGCTGCAGTCGACAAGCTCTGTGCAGATGTTTGTTGATGGTCCGGTAGGGCTGGGACCGGGTGTCACTGATACCCCAGCAGACGTAACCATTTCTGATGTACCTTTAACAGAAGACGGTACGAAAGATCATATCAACTATCTCTAACAACAGATTTTACCCATAAAATATACCTAGAATCATCGGAATCATATCAATTTAAGCTTCGAATTCAATGTGTAATTCTTTTTCATATCATTACTTATCGATTAACTAATAATGCCATTCTATAGAAGGTGATGAAGGCAATTTTTTGTTGTTTTTTTTTATTCGCACGCTCGCATTAGTTTTGGGGTTCCAAAAGGATGTCATCCATATAATCAAATCAACATAGCCTGATAATGAAGCTGGTTGTGTCGGGTCTTTAGATGATATCAAATATCAACATTATGTGCCCAATTGTCGTGAAGGTAAAGTACTTACACAGGATCCAATCCTACTTACCGGGCGCCTTCCCCATCTCATGAAGACGCTGCTCCAAGGCGGCGATTCGGTCATTCTCCTTGTCCAGGTTGCTTTTTAAAACGTCAACAGTGGTGGACAGTCGGGACATTTCCTGAAGAAATGCGAATGCAGCCGACGTCAATGGGTGAAACGTTTCATCTTTAAAGTAAGCCAAGAAGGCGACAAGGAAGTAAAATTGCAATTTAACAACTTTAAAGATGACTGAGTAAACATCTAATTAAAAGACTTCTGTCAAAGATGACATAGCATCAGCTTCCTAATACTGAATTACTGAATTGAATTAATGGGTTGCTATTATGGTTTATTTATTGTTGTTCGTCCACTAGTTTCTGTCATTTCGAATTCATTGTGGTTTAAAAATAGCACCGAGTGCATTAGCCATGTAAAAAGGAAGCAGAAATAAGTTGGTGCCCCAGATGCTCAGTCGGCGGAATTGTAATACATTTTAAGAATGATAAAAAGTACATTTTGTTTCCACTAAATACTGAGGCATTTAATTGCCTTCCATGAAAGATATAGTTTTAGGATTACCTCTTTAGTTACAAACATCGTCAGGGCGAATCCCACAATGGCTAAGGTTGCCAGCGTGGTGACCATACAGCTGCGGCGGGCGCGGAGGAAGCTGCAG